ATCGAATTTTTAACCTTACGTCGTTATTTAGGTAATAACTACATTTTATAGTCTTATCAATTTCAATCAACTATGTAAAATCTCTCACGGGAAAATCTCGACAAACGTCAGGTGTCTCCATAAGGGTGCCGTTTTCCTTAATTTGTTAAGGATTAATATACATCCTATAATCTTTGCAGATTAACAATTTATCAAAGATTACTGAGTTTTATTGGGCGATTTTATAAAACGTACACTGTGGACGCAATCTTAACCTCAAGCGCATCTTTAGTTGTCTCACTAACAACGCAGTCAAGAATTTGCATTTAGGAAAAGTCAAAATTAGGGGCTTTTTAGGCGCTAATTAGGTCCCAAGTTTAAAAATTAGGTGTTCTAAAATTTTCACCGCAACGAAAACTTGAAATTCGCGTTGCGTTGCTGATCTGACCAGGTCTTTGAATTATCTTTAATAATGCGTATATATTTGACTTCGAATACATTGATTCCGTCGTATTGAAATCGGTAGTACAAAATTTTTAATTTTACCATTTGTTTGTCATCTGGCTGTTTCCTGTTTTTTTTTTTCATTATTATGTTTTCAAAATTTAATTAATGTATTTTTCATAATATAGTTACATATAAATTACTTTAAATAAAACTTTTATTTCGTCCTAAAACTAAATAGACTAAACAATAAACAAAAACTATGCAAACAAGTACATATGTATTAACAAAAAAAAAATATCTAAGTAGACGTTTTGCTAGCGACGCAAATTTTAACAGTTCGTTGCGGTAAAAATTTTAGTGCACCTAATTTTTAAACATAGCACTTAATTATCACCTAAAAAGCCCTTAATTTTGGCTTTTTCTAAATGTATATTCCTGTCTTGGCGTTGATTTTCAGAAAGCCTGATGTTTGCATTTGCTTTGTTCTGAATAACGACTCTATTCTTATAGGGGGCCTGGTCATTGCCTATACTTGCAGCACGTATTTAGCACTTAATTCTTTGCTATTAATACTTATCGCATATCTATTATCGTCACTGCGTTGCTAGCGATACGCTTGGCCAGCAACGCAAATTTCAACAATTTGTTGCTATGAAAATTTTAAGAGTACCTAATTTTTAAACTTGGCTCCTTATTGACCTGACCTGAAACCTTAATTAGCACCCAAAAAGCCTATTTTTGGCTTTTTCTAAATGCAAACTCCCGACTGCGTTGCTAGCGAGACAGAACTTCTTTATCATGTATTGTCATTGAAATAATAATTTGAAGTGGGTTTTGATGCTTGAGTGTTAATATCGTTTAATATTGTAATTATAGTATAATTTTAATAATACTTACCTGCGTTAAGTTTCAGAAAACTTAATAAATAATTGAAACCATTTACCTGTTATGTACTTATTATATACAATATCATCATATAAAAATATACTTATATATTATTTTACATATATTAATTTTATTTAAACTTGGAAGTCTAAAGAGCGGACTCCGATGAATACCTCTTATTCACTTGAACAGGAAAAATTATATAATACAGTATTGACGCATTTTTATACGAAGCTCTGCAAAAATACATAAAAAAATCCTAAACTATAATAGAGAGATAAGTTAGTAAAAACCTGCAACAAATGATTGTGCCATATTATATAATATGATGTAATAGCAGAAATGTGTTGTCACGATCATAGAATACTATAATACATACATGATAGAACGAGGGAGTGGGCGGAGCCCGTGTAGCCACTAAAATGTCAATTCACACGTATAAATGTCAATACAATCAACCGTTTTCAGTTTTCGTGTCAAGCGTCGCTGCATGCAAATTATTTAAAAAAAATTGCAAATTGTGCAATAATTACGTGTCGAAAGAACAGCGGGAATTGAATTTAAATAAAGGAGACATATTCTACAACCAGTAAGTCGAAGCTATTTTATATTTTGTGAATATTAGAAACAAAAATAAAGAAACATTTATGTGTCAAAAACATTAATCAAAAGTCTAAAATGTGTTTGTAGTAGTGATAACCGATAATACGACGTAATTGCTTGTATGTGTGCTCCCGGCGACGCCAATCCTCCTACAAAATAGGGTTGACAGCCATTCTATGGTGTATTATAGTATTCTATGGTCACAACTATCTCAGCTCTATAAAGGTCACTACACAGTTTAAATGGAGAACTGTCTAAGCATTTTCTCAATAATTAAACAATATGATCAATAGTTTAAAAAAAACCATGCATAATATTATAATAAAATTCACTCTAGCTAAAAAGCTTATGCATACTATTTTTACTCGTATTTGAAATCGTTAAGGAGGATTTTTAATTATCAATGGAAAATTCTCTTACATATGTTCTTCCCCGAATATGGACTAAGGTACCCTGGGCAATTAACGCCCACCTAACTTAAAACGAAATTTATGATGTTATTAATTAATGAAATTAAACATACTGTATATTAAAGGTATTACAATATATTACAGAATTGTAAAATGCAAATTTTGATCCACTATTAATTACAGTTCCACATCAGTACAACTTTTTAAAAAACCCTATTTTGGGCGTTATTAAATAATAGTTTATTAACGCCCGTTTGAGTTAAGAAACGAATAATGCAGTTATAGACAGTATATAATTGAAAACCACACATAATCCGGATGTTATTTTTTTATTTTTTCTGATAAGAATACAAAATTTAGGTAAAAAATCCACAATAAATATAAAAAATAGTAAACTTCGCAGCACATGTAACATTACTTGTAACTTCTTTTTAATCATCATTATTAAAACAATTTCGATACTACATTTAAATTTGTAATAATTACTAGCATAATAGCTTTAAATAAGTTTAAAAAAGAAACATATTTTTTTTGTTTAGTGGGCGTTATTATGCGATGGTGGATTATTGCGCCCTGTATTGTATTAGGTAATATCCGCCCCAGAGCTAGCATTCTTAATGAGAGTTGCTTCACAAAGTAATATTTTGATAATTAAAATGAGATCAGGTAATTAGTACAGTTACTTACAAAATGGAAAACAACTGTCAATTGCAAATAAACCATTTTCTAAGCTATAGTATGATACAATATCAATCAGTCTTTGAATATGAAACCAATCAGTTAACTTGCTTTATCTTATAGTCATTAAATAGTATAAACCAGATTAACACTCGGAACAAATAAATTCTTTATCACATTTTGATAGTCACACTCTTCATGGTACCATCTCTTACAAATTCCACATTGACGCATGTCTAACTTCTTGTTTTCAAAACATGCATAGCAGTACCACTCTTCGGTATCATCTTTTAATTCATTTATTTGCTTCTTTTTTCTCTGTTGTTATTTTGTTATATCTTTACACTTTAAAACTTTTTTCTTTGGTGTTAGGATTTTTCTAATCTAATGTATTCTTCTTCTGTTGTTTATTAGTTTTGGCATTAACCTTGCTATTTATTTTGTTTTTTTTTGTTGTTTCTCACTTTTATCTGAAAATAAATCCTTAGTTATTCTTTGTCCTTTATAATTCATCGCTTTCTTACGCTGTCTTTTTGTTTTAACTTGTGCATAATTGGGAGTTGGCAAAAAAATTTGGAATGGTGTCTTATTACTTTGTTTGTTTAAATTAATATTATAATGTTCATCTGAGGCACTAAAGTTCTCATTATTTGTTTTGTACATTTCATGTTAGGAACTAATAATAAGTTTCTTAGGTGTGATTTGCCCTTTAGGGATAAAATAGTCAGTATTTTCATCATCTTCGGCTGACGAGTAACTATATATGTCTTCAGCAGCGCATTTTTTAAAGAGAGACGTATGAACTAAAGCATCTAAATCAGAAACTGTGGAGTTAGAACTAGAGCTTGGACGAATAGGTTTATGTAATCCAGAACAACTTGGAACTCCCAAATCTATTTTGTAAGTGTCCTTATTGCTTAGAAGTGGCTCGTCATTGGCACTTACCAAAAAAACGTCATTTTCTGAAATCAAAGAAAGTGAAGCACAGTGTTCTTCCACCTGTGTTGCTGGCCTATGAGGATGTTCTACCATTTCGAAGTCAGAAACATCGGGAGATGAGCTATAGTCAACGAGACGGCATTTAACTATTGAAGAGTTTTCAGTTGTTGAAGGTACGATTGGTAACGACCGGTTATGGTACGGTTATAAGATCAGGGTATTCATCTATCTCTAATACATCAGATGTAGAGTTCTGCAGGAGCCAATCACATATCGGTAGGTCGTCATCAGGTCATCAATATGACGTCAGATAAAAGACTTTGTATGGGCTCCACGCTAGTTTGTGGCCATGCAATTTCAGACAAAACTGATGGGGCATATGCTTCCTCCGGTATAGCTTCAGGATTAAACGGGAATAATCCTGTTGCCGCAAATCCATTCACAATGTTGCTATGCGTCATGCATTTGGGCCAGACTTGACTAAATATCTTATTAAAAGTGGCTTTTGACATTGTTCTGTTGGGGTATGTGTATAAGAAGTTCAGAACTGCTTCATCCCAGTGGTGTTCATACGACTTATTGACTGATTTGTCTAAGGGCTGAAGCTCATGCGTTGTGTTGGAAGGGAGACAATACAAAGCTATATCGTTTTTATCAGCTTGATCTAAAACTTCTATTTACAAGTGACATTTGGCACCATCAAATATAAGTAAACATTTTCCAGCAACCTTGTATTTCGCTAAGTGCTTAATAAACTCCACAAACAAATCAGCAGTCATACTGCCTTTCGGTGCCATCCTGACTAACGTTCCTGGTGGTAAGTTATCACATAGATCAGATCTCTGTCTTTTTCCTTTAAAGAGGATCATAGGTGGTATCGCAGTACCAATGGCATTCACGCACATTGCTATCGTAACATTTTCCGCGTGTTCAGGGGCAATGAGATGAACTCTTTTGCTTCCTTTCTCTGCTAGGACTGTGTTCTGCTTGTGTACAGTTATCCGGCATCCCTTTTCATCCATATTGTACAATTTTTCTGGATGTTGTAGGATATCCATCTCATTGTAATTCTATTGGTTCCATCTCATTGTACAATTTTTCTGGATGTTGTAGGATATCCATCTCATTGTAAAAATTTTCTGGATGTTGTAGGATATCCATCTCATTGTACAAATTTTCTGGATGTTGTAGGATATCCATCTCATTGTACAATTTTTCTGGATGTTGTAGGATATCCATCTCATTGTACAATTTTTGCACACTCTGAAAATGTTGCTGAACAATTGTTTTGTTTAATTTTTGTGCTCGAGCTGGATTCATTATTTGCGGCTTTCGTTCGCTAATTGAGGGATTCCGCTTTAAAAAGTATCTCAACCAATCAGTGCCATGCAATGCGGCAATTCTTTTGGAATTATTGAAATTATTTTTTATTTCGTATGTTTCACAAAACATATATGCTTGTTTTCTTATAAATTTTGGCGTGACGGGTACACCTATTTTAGCGAATCTTTTTATTCGTTCAACGAGGTCATTTTCTTGATGTTCTGTAAAAATTGGTTTTCTTCCCAAACGTTTAACGATTGTGCCCGTTTTTAAATGATCCCTCAATGTTCTTCGCGGAATATTATGCCTGGAAGCTGCAGCACGCTGAGACAATTGGCCTCTTTGAACAGCATTCTTCTGCTTTAGGCCTTCTTCAGCACAATTGTCCTCTTTTTTCACCCCTGGACCTGGTCGGAGCCATTTTACTACCCTGCGTAGGTAATAATTAACATAAATAATAAACGTTTTCCCAAATTATAGATTTTAGTAATTAACTAAGTTTTATTTTCGATTTAGCTTGGTAACGTACAGTTTAAGTTCTTTAGACATGAATTAGAAAACTTTTATATTGAAATAACATAATAAGTGCATTAGACCTATAATGCCCATTTGTCTGTTAACAACCTATATAGGCTAATACCGCCCAACTGTTTACTGGGCATTGTTACCCGAAAGGGATTGTTATTCAATCCACGCATTTTAATGCAATAATTACAGAAATAAACTCAAGATATCATAGCATAGTCTAGGAAAGCTAGTAAACTAGTAAATATTACGAGAAATATTACGAAACATGCGGTAAAACAAATAAAAACTTACAATTTGCTGAAGTAATTTTTATGTATCTGATACACGGTTTGAACCGATGGTTTGAAACCAAGGTGACCTTGGTAGAAAGCGAGTTGCGCTTTGCGGCTACATGGTTTCAAACCATCAGTGTGGAAAGAACGTTGCGCGGACAGGACGTCTCTACGCTGGCACCGTACAACGAGACGTCATGGTGCCTTACCTATCTACACAACAAAAAATTGGGGTGGCTCTTGCTCTTTTGTGTGCAATTGAAGGAAAAAGAAAAAGAAAAAAAGGAATATGGATGAAAAGATGGTTAAAGAAGAGATTAAGCCTTAGTCATATGAACTTAATGAACCTACTGGACTTTGATGACATACATAACTTTCTAAAAATGGATAAAGAAAGTTTTTACGAATTATTGTCCAAGGTGAGGCCATTTATAACTAAAAAAGACACAAACATGAGACCAGCAATATCTGCTGAAGAAAGGCTTTTAGCCACACTAAGATTTCTAGCCATTGGAAGAGACTATAAGGATTTGAGATATAGCTCGATAATATCACATCAAATCAAAAATCATTCCTGAAACTTGCTGGGCAATCTATAAGGTTTAAAAAAAAAACAATCAATGTAAGTAATCTGTAATATTTATTTGTGTTTTCTAAAAATTAACAATTCTTTCAAAACTCCTTCCGCCGGGTCCTCTGCATACAACACTGTATTCTCAATTATGTTGACAGCGTTCTGTGAAGATGGCGTAGAATTTGAATGTGTAATTTGTGAGGAATTTGGAAATATTTGGTAAGAATGAGATGTAGCAGGTGATAGATGTTGTGTATGAGAGAAAGGAGAAGTGGGTGATTGAATGGGAATAGGACAATTTGGGGATGGTGAATTCACTGATTGAGATATTAGGTAAGAATGAGGTGAAACAGTTGATGGATGTTGTGTATGAGAGGAAGTAGAAGTGGGTGATTGTATTGGAATAGGACAATTTGGGGATGGTGAATTCACAGGTTGAGAGATTAGGTAAGAATGAGATGAAGCAGTTGACGGAGAATATTGTGCAAGAGAGGATGGAGAAGGAGTTGATTCAGTTTGGATATACTGATTGCCGTTAGAGGAAATCGAAGGAGTAGAGTGTACGAAGTACGATTGAACAGAGTTATGTGAAGAATAGTGATTTGTTCTTGATGGAATTTCTATTCTTGTGTCAAAGGTCAAATTATTAGTCTTAGCAAGAAAAATGACCTCTGAAATTAGTTTCTCAGCGAGATCTCGCTGCTGACCAACGGGTATTTCTTCCATTTTCTTGCCCACATATACTCCGAATGCATTAGTTTCCCTTCTGTTCGTTAATAAATCATTTGCTGCATCTATTAGTTTTTCTTTTTTAATTTCGATGTTGCGTTCTCTTGTCAGATTTTTTTGATTCGTCCGGCCTATTTGTTGTTCCTGAAACAAAAATACAGTAGATTTTATATGATATAATATAATTTATATTTTATTTCATTACAGCTGCCGTTAACGGAAGAAGAATGGAAAATGTCTGCGAAGTTATTTGAAACACAATGGCACTTCAATAATTGTGTCGGTTGTATGGACGGCAAACATATTTTAATACAAAAACCGTCTGAAAGTGGATCTCTTTTTTTCAACTATAAGGGCACATTTAGTGTAGTTTTATTCGCCATCGTAAATGCCAATTACGAATTTATTTATGTCCATACAGGTTCAAACGGGAGCCAGTCTGATGGAGGCATATTTAAAAAGACATCATTTTATGCAAAGCTTACTAACAACCAATTGCATTTACCTGAACTGTACTTGTTACCAGGAACAGATATATCTGTACCATATATTTTTTGGGCGATAGTGCTTTTGCACTTGAAAAACATGTTATGAAACCATTTCGTGAACGGAACATTTCAAGGGAGCAAACCATATTCAACTACAGACTATGCAGAGCTAGGAGAATTGTAGAAAACGCTTTCGGCATCCTTGCGTCTCGTTTTCGAGTTTTTAGACAACCGTTAAATTTAAGTCTCGAAAATATAGATGCAGTTGGGTTGGTAAGTTGTGCTTTACACAATTTTTTGAGGAAAAAGTCGAAAACATATTTGACTCCTACGTGTGTTGATAAAGAAGACTTAGAGAGAGGTACTTTTATTAATGGGATTTGGCGTCAAGAAACAAACCAACTAACATCTCTGCAAAGAACCATTCAGAGGCCTTCGACAGATGGGAAGAACATCAGAAATACTCTCACTCAGTATTTCAATGGTGCCGGTAGCGTCACTTTTCAAGATAGAATGATAAATTTTGTTAGTACCTAGTTGAAATAATTAGTAATTACATAAGCCAGATGCACCAAATTGTATAACATCATTATACTTAGTTTATATTAAAATAAATCTCTGTTTTGAAAGTAATTAGATATTCTAGTATTTATTGAACCAATATTTACTCGAGGTTATCAAATAATTACTTACCATAAGTCCATATTTCCTAAAGAATATAATTATGTGTTACTGGCAATCTGTATAATTTAGGTATGTATACTACACGCCTTTTACACACATTGCCAATTACGCAGTTGGTATTGTATAGAATACCTAGGCGTGATTGGCCCGATACGCCATTGGACTAAATTACAAATTCACGATTGGCCCAAAATACAATGTTTTTGAATGAAATAAAACTCAAAACTACCTCATCAATCGCGAATTAGGCCAATCGCGAATTTGTGAATTAGTTCAATGGCGAATTGGGTCAATCGCGCCAAAACGTAAAATGAATAATAATTCGTACATTACCTAAACGGTTTTGGGAAGTAGGTATTGTATAGAATACTGAATTATAGAGATTGCCGGTAACATAATTATACAAATACAACTTACGTCTTCCTCGTCACCCATGAATGAATCAATTCCCTTTCTTTTCACATCATTTTTTTTCTCCAAGAATATCAATAACTCGTAATACCATAAACTGGGCTTATGAACGTCACTGGTGGACGATCCAGTGAGGTTTTTTGATTCTTTGACCTGAAAAGCGTAAAAAATAAAGAGAGTCGGTAAACTACATAACGAGAAAACATAAATAGTAGGTAGGTATGTTCCAATGAAGAATTATATTTGAAGAATTATACAAAGAATATAAAGAAGAATTATGGCAATCAGTAAATATTTTCATACAAATAACAATTTTAATTCTGGTTTTACGTTAGGTAACTATTGAAAACAGAAAATAGAAAAATAAGTAGGTAGGTACAATAACATGTACCTAATATTTCACTGCATTTTTACAAAGAATATAAAGAAGAATTATGGCAATCAGTAAATATTTTCATACAAATACAATTCTAATTCTGTTATTACGTTAGGTAACTACTGAAAACAGAAAATAAGTAGGTAGGTACAATAACATGTACCTAATATTTCACTGCATTTTTATTCAAAACTGATAGCAATTTCTATTTTAATTAACTTATAGTTAAGTTACTTACCTTCTTGGATTCCCGTATATAAGAAATTCTAAGATTTTCTATCTTTTTTTTGCAGACGCGGCGTTGGCCGATGGGTCAATTTCTTTCAATTTTGTGGCTAAAATATCCCACGCATTTTTTTCTGAGTAGAAACTTTGTATGTTTCACATGTTAAGTCCCAAAGACAAGGCAAGTCTCTATACAGTTCCAGGAGTTCCGTGATCACTTCACGTTCTCTTTGCTCTTGTGCCATTTTGTGCGCGAAACGTCGCCGCGTGCGTCTGCGCTCGCCGCTGCAGCGTGACTGTCGTTCACGTGGTTTCAAACAAGCGGCTAAACGGTTTCAAACCAACGCTTCTGCCAGTGGTTTGAAACGCAAGCCTTGCTACCAAGGACATTTGAAGGTCAAACGAAATTTGGTTTGAAACCACTATCTACACGGTTTGAAATCTCTGTTTCAAATCATCGTTTCAAACCGTGTATCAGATACTTTATATTTACGGTGTTCACAACTGACGTTCGACATGCGAAGCGCGTCACTGCCAAGATGGCGGCGCGAGAGCATTGTTCGTACTCGTGCATTCGTATGGGTATATTTTATGTTTGTGTGAGGTGTAACACAAACCATAATAAATTAATAACGTTTTTATAAGATTGGGCGTTATTAAACCACGGGCGTTAATTGCCATACCTACCTTAAGATGTATTTAATTCTTACCAAGCAATATTTATTTATATCATAGACTTTATATTTTTATAGGAATTTGGCTTAATACAGCCATTAGGCATTATAAATTTAATGACACGCAATAACGAAATGAAGCTGTATATTAATTCAGAAATAAAATTACATTTATTATTTGAACGCAATTAATAGGTGATATCAGATAATGTAAAAAAATCATATGAAATTTTAGACTTTTGTACAAATATAGTCTGTTGTAAATTGTAAAAATCATTATTACTATATCGTGTCATACTTGACCACACTTTATTACTTTTTAATTTTGTAGGTTATTCTCCATTGAGTTATAATGTACTACGTACTAGAGAAGCTATTCCAAACAAAAATTGTGCGCTACTTCTATGTCTTCGCGCATGCGCGGTAATAGTAGAGTCGCGCATGCGCAGTTGGTATAAACGCGCTTTGCGCTTGCGCGGTCAGTTTTTGTTATTATAGATTATACGTAAGTAGAATGGTCAGTATGTAATAATTGTTTATTTATATTGTATTGTTAATTATATCGAGTACTTACAATTTTTTAAATTGTTTTTTATTTTGTATATGTGCTAATTTAATATAATATTACATAATATTATGTCAGAATTACATTTTGATGATATTGTTATCTGAATATTTTAAAAGGTATCTATGTCAAATATAAAAAAAACGTACTAAATGTATGTTTAACAAAACTTATTAACATAAAATTTAAATTACAAATATATTTATTTAAATTAGAATCATAAATGTTGTAAATAATCGTTCATAAATGCTGGGCACGCGAGAGTTAAAAATGGACGAATTTATTCCACTTTGACTTTGAAGTGGAAACCTAAAAATAAAATAAAAGAATAATAAGCAGATTTAAACATGAAAAATTTAGCTTAATTATAATAACTTATATGTTTCTACAAAAAAAATGTGTAGTATAATAATATATTCGTCCTAAACTTAAGTACCCACAGAAATGTCGCATCTGAACATATTAATTTCATAATCTATATTCAATGATACGAGATGGCGTCTTAGGAATAATTTGCTTTATTATTAATTTATAATACTTTTTTATTGAATAAGTATCTTATTAACCCATGAAAAGTAATTCCTTGGTTTTTACTGACATTTCTTGAATTATTTGTGCTATATCTAAGTACACAAGACGGCATATTTTTATCAAGAGATTTTTTTTAAATCAACACAACACGTGACAACTCTACAAGCGCCTAGCGAGTGACTGATTAAAGTGCAGTGCATGCACCGCAGTTGAGTGGAACAGAGTAGCTGAATGCAGTGTCTCCTCTAGTACGTAGTACATAATAGCTCAATGGTTATTCTCATACAATCAATTTGTCGTCATGTATAATTTATTACTGTAAATTATGTTCAATTTGTTATGTTCCAGTGTCTAAAATACTAAAATGCATTAGAGACTGAAATTATAAGCAATGAAACATTAATGAATCATCCCTGTATGGCCTTTATTCAATAATATATATTAAATGAACTATAATAATTATTGAAACTTGTGATTAGAAACATAATATCCATTGTTTATAATAAGGTGGTGAGGATTTTATTTAACAATTATTTATAATTTTATACCCATGGGTGTTTTTAAAGTGCTTACATTAGTTGAAAGATAATAAAATTTCTGCGTTAACGGTTGTTTTTTTCCAATATGATAACGTCCTACCCTGATCGAATTACGGTCAATAGACTGGCCATCTGCGCAGGACAAGGTTATAGTGTATGCGCGAACACAGATGTACTCTATTCCCTCGCTCATAATCCCATGAGACAGCAATCCGACATGACCGGAGAAAGATCAGGCGCAAGATCAACGGTGCTCACAGAGGCACGGAGATGTAACACCGCCAATTTCCTTACTCCGGGTTAATACTAAGGATTTGACAAAAAAATCCAATAACTGGTTTCGAACCCGGTGATCTGCAGTCGCGATTACGACTACTAGACCAACGAGGCACTCAAATGATACTATTATTACAACGTAAGTTAACAGCATAGAATACTATTATACATACATAATAGAACAGGGGAGTGGACTGAGCCCGTGTAGCCACTAAAATGTCACTAACGCGTCAATTCGCACGTATAAACGTCAACACGAGATATGTTTTGACGTTACAATCGTTTCCAAATTCCCATGCAAATTATTTAGAAAATGCCAAATTGCACGCTATTTACAAATAAATATGTATTAAAATCTGTCTGTCAACACAGCGAATCGGGTTTGTAGTAGTGATAATACGACGTTATTGCTTGAATGTGTGCTCCCGGCGACGCCTATCGTCGTATAAAATAAGGTTGACAGCCATTCTATTCTGCATTATAGTATTCTATGGTTAACAGCATATTAACAGTTTCGGAAATTATAATTTTAGAGGTCACCCGTCACCATAGTGCTGCAAAGTGCGAAGAATTATAAATGTTTTAATGTGTATTTAAAAGTAATAAATTATCCTAAAAATTAAGCTCAATAAGGCACAGTAGATTTGATAGTGATACTAACCCCGTCACTTAAGCAACCTTTGAAATAAGTGACGGTTTTACAACCACTGCCATATTTGTATAGGGTAAAGATGGGATAAAATTCATCCGATGTTCACTGGCGCGGGTATCCATCGGATCTCGGAGCGATCTTAGCCCTGTTTGGGTCAGTTTTATCTGGCTATAACTTCTTAAAACTTAGTAATTAGACAGAATAATAACAAAAGTTCTCGCTAAAAATCACAAATAAAAGTGAAGAGAAATACCGGATGGACAAAAAAAATACAAAAATTACCTTGTTTTATAAAATGCCGCCCATCACACGCTCTAATTCTCGGAGCGATTGGCTGGAACTTGGGGTTAGGGTAGAATGAAATGGCGTCGTATACCATATTGCTAGTATTTAAAATATGCCATAATTCGCCAAAAATTTTAATGTTATGGTCTTGCCCCATCACCGATGTCACCCCAAAACACCTTACCGTTTTCATATGTTTTTTATTTTATTTTGAACTCGTACAATTTATTTTAGAGGATAACTCGGCGACTTGAAAACATGGACGTAGAAGAATTATTGCTAGCTTTAGAATGGACTGGAGGATAAAAACGACGATGAAGATGACTTCCACATTATTTCCAGAGAAATGTGCCAAGATTTTGCAGGAGAAGAAGACACAGATAGGGTGGATTATCATGAAACCACTGAAGAACGTACAGCAGATATCGATCCACCTCGGATGATCATGAACCGTCAACCAAGGTCAAGTATCCTTTGCCGGCTTTGTTAGGAGGAAATAAATATGAAATAAGATACTTTGCCTTATGATGAAATAAAATATCACACCAGCCTAGCACGATTGCTCCTGCAATAGCCGATCTTGATACACCATACAGATGTTTTCTCTACTAAGTTGACTTACTTCACACCCGCGTTTTTACGAAAAATTGCAGATGAAAGCAATCTGTACGCCATTAAAAAAATCCTTCAAACCCAATCACAGTGACTGCTGAAGAGTTAAAAATATTGGTATTCTGTTGGTTATATCCGTTGAACACTTTCCTAGCATTCCTTCATATTGTCACGATAAATTTGGATTTGACTCAATAAAATCAGTGATGCCGGTTAACCAGTTTGAGGCCTATGAAGAATTTTGCATTTCGACAGTAACGAAAAACATCTTAAAGAGCACCCAGATCACGACCGCTTACACAAGATTAGATCGGTTATGAATCAGTTAAACGAAACTTTTTTGTCAATTTCCATAGATCAGTGCCTTTCAATCGATGAACAAATGTGTTCAACGAAAATTGCACATTTTTTGAAGCAGTATTTACCAAACAAACTATTTGTCCTTTGCGGTGTTATGGGATATCCTTTAAGTATATTCTGGACAAGAATATAAATAAAATAAACAAGGAGATGAGCCAGATCTAGGTGTGACGATCAATGTTGTCCTACTCTTGGCTAGAGTAATTCCAAGGATGGAGAATCACATCGTTTATTTCGATAATTTTATACTTCACTGCCCTTGGTTTACTATTCAGCCAAACAAGGTATTCATTGTGTCGGTACTGTCGGCTTTCAGACGAAAAAGGTCTCATTCCTAGAGGAACTTAGGTATTCTATTCCTAGAGGAACTTAGGTCTTCTATTCCTAGAGGAACTTACGAAGAACGTACTTCTCATTACGATGGGGTCGACTTTTCGACAACTGTTTGGAAAGATAACAAAGTTAACGCTTTTGTCATCTTATGTTGGTGCGGAACCTGTCAGAAAAATCAGTAGCTATGATAAGAAAACAAAATAAAAAATAGATATTTCGTGGCTTAAGATTGTACATGAGTCGACTATATACTATAATATATGCACTACTAGCCGCTTCGCCATGTCACTGGGAAATGAACTATCCATTGCTTCAAGAATTGAAAGAAAACTGAGTTTTATAGATTTGTCAGAGATGCAGCCATTAAAAGGAAACTGAGCGAAATTGATTCGTCAGCCTATTTAAATATTTTGAAACGCAGCGCATAGGAAAGCATGAAAATAGCCTGTTTATTCCAAATGGAAATGGGATATTTTTTTAATTAAAGGAAACTGAGTATAATTATCCGTCAGCAAAAACTACTAAATTATTCGTCAGAGATGCAGTTTTCCGAATTGAAAGAAAACTGAGCCAAATAAAAGATCCGTCAGTGATGCAGCCTTTTGAGTTGAAAGGAAACTGAGCTTAATAGGTCCGTCAGAGGTGCAGCATTTGGAATTGAAAAGAAACTGAGCTAAATAGGAAATTTTGAATTGAAAGGGAAGATCTGTGGGAATTCTGATTAATTGATTGTAGGAATTTTGGAAAAAAAACTAACTGAACACTATTTTAAGACGCTAATAATGTACACAATGTTATATGTTTTTCCATTCGGGGAAAGAATGTGGAGATTCTGGGCATTTGACACACGCGAACATGCTCCATACAGCTGACCATGAGAGAAGCACGGTTTTTCTAAGTTGACCCCCGCTACCTGTACGTTCAAAAAACTGAGCTTAATAGGGAACTGCAACCTTTTGAATTAAAAAGGAAGATCTGTGGGAATTATAGGGATCGGTGGTATAATAACATTTTCACCTCCACTGTCAAAATTGTAGCACCGATTGTGTTCCGTCCAAGATGAGTCACACGCAGCCTTGTCCCGTTACATAACCGAGAAGCATCTAAATTTCGCATTAGCATGACTGACACTAATTTTAATTGAAGCTTATGTGAGGGCACACCTGACAACTCTAGAGAATTTAGAAACTCTGCGGGATATGAAGTGCTCTGTTCTGTGTCCATAACTGTGTCTACTGACAAATACTCTGTTATTTCTCCTGCTACTTCGCTTAATATATCTGAATTTATTTTGTTAACGCTCTCATTTTTTGGTGCAAGAATCGCCCTTTCACATAACCATTTGTCTTCATGCATGTTGTTCGTTAAATCTGAATAAACGCTCGCAATTAATTCGGAATGACTCTGTACTAAATTACAAATATCTCTCGTCAATTTAACGCAGCCCTCAGCATCCGTTTCCAACCGCCCATCGCCAATTTTTTATAGTGTGTAATCATAGTTTCCAGCATTGATATCATTATACAAATGCACTCTCATATTCGTAGTTAAACTGGATTTTGTCATCTTGTTCCAGAAAATAGACGACTTAAGGCATGCTTTAATTTCATCTGCAGGTGTGCCCTTTTGAATGACAGGTAAAGTTTGGCGAAAGTCACCAGCCAGTAAAACCACCATTCCTCCCATTACATCGGTATTGCTGCGCAAATCCTGGAGTGTTCGATTTAGTGCTTCTACAGCTTTTTTATGCGACATTGTACTTTCGTCCCACACTAAAAGTTTGCATTGTCGTAGTATTATACTTACGCACTATTTTTGCTAAAGTTGCAGATCGGCGATTCTTCCTGGGTTATATTTAGAGGAAGTTTTAAAACAGAATGTGCAGTGCGGCCGTTAGCAGCATGGCGGCTATACCGGAGGAAGCTACGGCCACAGCAATGTTTTTATCTTTCCGTACTTGCACTAATAATAAATTTAACAAAAACGTCTTCCCAGTTCCTCCAGGGGCATCTAAAAAGAAAAGTGCACCATTTCCAGATTCAATTTGTTCTAATACTTTGTCAAAATCTCGTTTTTGTTCGGGAAGCAAGCAGGGTACAAATTCGGCTACTTGCTGCTGCAAAGCTGGTATATCGTAGTTTGTTTCACGTATAATTTCATCACTTAGTTCATTTTCGGTTGTTCGCTGAGGGCTTATCATTCCAAAGTCGCTTAATTTTTTGCCTACCATTGCCATTACTTTATCTTCAAATTCTTTTAATCGTTCCTGACTTTGAGAAGGTGTTTCGGAAGCTCTTAAAGCAGCCTAACGCTCTGTCTGTTCAAGACGCCTTTTTGCTGACGTTGAGAAGGTGTATCAGATGCTCTAAAAGCAGCCTGACGCTCTGCTTGTTCTTGCTTTCTCAGTTCAGCATCTTCTAAAGATTCTAGCGATCGAGCTAATCTTTTCGCTTGTCTTTGAGAAGATACTCTTGAAAGGCTGAACTTACGTTTGCGAGGCATTATGAAGTAACAAAAAACCTATTTATAAAAAAAACGTTAAAATACCTAAAAGGAATTAAATTTCCTTTTAAATATTTTTTTAAAAGCAAATCGAAAATATCTAAAAGGAATAAATATTCCTTTTAAATATTTTTTTAAAATCAAAACAAAACCAATTCAAGACACAACACGAATCCGAAAACTATAGCCAAAAAAATCGAATCAACTTAAACCAAATCACAAAACAAATCGCAGAAAACCGAAATCGAAAGCAGTAGTCAATATAAATATAACCAACGAAAAAAGAAGTAAGTGTCTAAGGTACCGTATACACTATCTGTACTATTAATATTCCTTTGAAATATTGTTAAACAACCTAAAACAACGAAAACTAATCACGATTCTAAATAAACAAAATCCCAAAATCAAAGCCAGAGTCTAAATATGTATAAAGGAATACCAACCAAATCAACATAACCGATCCAAGAAAATACACAAATCCGAAAATGAAAGCCAATATAAATCCAATCAACCTTAACCAAATCACAAAGCAAATAACAAACAACCGAAATCGAAAGCAGGTAGTTGAATAAGCTACGAAATAGAAACAATTTAAGCGTATAGGTACCGTATGCACTATAAGTATACGTATACGCGGCTCAACGGCGGGAGTTAAGTACATGTCATGAAACATTTCGTTATCGCGTTTTAAAAACCTAGTAACGACATCTAGCGGAATCAATTACTCTCAAAAATATTTTTTTTATAATTTTGCACAATTTTTCTTATTGTAATACCGATTCATTCATAACCACATATAAGAACTGTATTCATTTCCGTTCAATAAATATTACTAAGGCTTATTAATAAGGCTTACTAAGAACTGTTTCTACCACAGTTAAGTAATAGTTAAGGGTGAAAGCGTGACAGGTGGTGATAGTATTTCTGATCCATACTTATAATCACGCCTGTAACCCTTGTGGGGTAGGCAGAGCATCAACGGATTACTTAATATCATCTGCGAGGTTATCGCCTATTCTGTGAATTACAATGCACCAAAACGTTTGAAGAAAATCAGCTGGTGAATTTTATATTTTTATCGCTCTCTTCCCGGTCCTGCGTGGAAAAATACAGATCCATACATTTTTTATCTTAATTTTGGTAAAAAGACATAATAATCCAGATATTCTGACCTTCTGGGTTCGTCCATCGTACCGTCGTCCATCTTGTAGAATCACGGTGGCGCCACCTAGCTGAATTTAATTTTGCAACACATTCGATTTTCCCACGGGCATATGTTTTTCCGCTGAAAAAAGCGGCAACCCGGGGGGAGTGTTTTCCGGTATGTCACTCTACAGCCACCGAACTATCCCCAAACAAAAAATCATGGCATGCCGACGCTCTGTTGCGACGTGAAGGAAGGACAAACAAACAAACACACTTTCGCATTTATAATATTAAGTATGCACTATAAGTCGACTTAATGGACAGGTCGTGGACTTTACCGTATTCGTATATAAAGTCTAGTGGTATTTGCGCCTTTTTTCACCAATTGGATCTCGCGGTGATAAATACATGGATACTAATGAAAAAAAATTGCATAGCAGTGTGTTCCAGCAAAACAACCGCCGAATCTTGAACAGTTTCGGAATATTTTGGCAGATGCTCTATGCAATGTTGGTTAGACTTACGAAAACAAAAGATGGCTTCCAAGCAAGCGCCATTGCTATTATATTATTATATTTATTGCCATTGCCTCTACCTTGTACATTTTACTTTGTTTCCGTATCATAGAGCTTCTTGAAACCAAACAAAACGACAATCCACGTTAGATACCAAAGTAGTGAGGGAGTGCGCGATTGATGAAACTGAAATAGCTACATAACACATACAATTCTAAACTTTAACTCTAATATTATACAAAGTCTGTTTGAAGGTATTTCTTAGTATTTTGGAGCAATTGTTTCATAAAATTTCAAACAACTTTTGACCTTAATTGAAGGATAGTAATGATCGCAATGCAACTTGTATGTTGTAGTACTTATTACAATTTAGCCTTGAACTCAAGAGCAATGAAATTAGGAGTGAATATTTAAGTATTTTTGAAGGATTCCATTTTTAGTTTCACGTAGGTAAAACAATCGAGTGAGCGCATTTATTTGTTGTTCCTCCTTAGTTTTGAAATTAATAATTTGATTTTTTTTAGAGTTTATTTGTGTTATTCCTATGGATTGTCCATTTAATTTTTTTTAAATGGAAATAAAAAAAATCATGAATTTAAGGGTTAATATAAAATATGTATATACTTTATATTTTCCTGACAATTTGAACTTCCATGAAATCTGTCGAATATTTCACCTCATCCCAAAGTAGCGCCGCCCTAGTGGTGGTAAAGTTAACGGTTGCCCTCATTATTGTGCTAGATTTCAACTTATTTTTTATAGAATCTAATGGTGAGTGTAATGTGTCCCATAGACACTTATATCAATTCTCAATTTTAGATATAGGTCCCGGTGATTTTCGACACTAAATTTGCGTCGAGGCACAGAACAAAAATCACATTTAATCTTCTTATAGGGACATGGTTTGGTTGCCTTTCCTGGATCTAGTTTTGCATAAGCGTCAATCCAATTAGATCCGAAGTCAATTACATCTTTAACTAACCTAATTATAAAAGATAGGCTCTAAATTTATATGCAGTGTAAATTCTAAAAACACGAAGGCTAGTCAAAAAGTCAAAGCTTTCATAGTACTAATAGTTTATTTTACATTCCAGATCTTAATACTTAACATTAAATGCATCATAGTGTATTAAAATCAACAGCTGACATTAAATTATTTTTACAAAAATATATATAAAATTGTTTGTATATTGTATGATAAAGTCAAGTGCAACTTACAGATATTTTTAACTTAAATTTACACTAGACAACTTAATAGCTACCACAAGAGAATCACTAAAACGGTATTAAAAAAATCGTTTGAAAGGGGAACCATAAAAAATAAATTTATATACCTTCTTATCATAACACAGGGATTGAAACAGTTCTGAAAATACCTTTAAGGTGACGCTTGTATTTGACAGTGCTGCTAATAGAGCCTAAACTTAAATAAGAATGGTATGGATCAGCAAATGACCAAAATAAGTAACTTGTTTGATTTCATTGAGTGACAGAAAATAATTTCTTTGTGCCATGTTACGATTGAAGTAATGATATAAAAATAAAAAGCTACAATGCTGCAAAGCTTCTCTATAAGACTTGCTACCCAAAAATTTACGGTATTTTGGAACCGGTATCTTAACGATACTTTAATTGGAACCATACCAAACTTTGGAACCATTTTTAGAATCTAAATGTAGAACTGAACCGAATAATCTAAATTATAATTATCAAAACCATCCTAAGCATGTGAGAAGAAACAGTCTACAGTGAAGACCATGAATGTGATGCTTTTACCAATTGGTCTACAAATAATAATGATTTGCGTTTAAGTGTAAATTCGTACAGAATGTATTCATGAAAAAGTTTACGGTTAACAAACTACTATTTATTGAATATTTTGATTAATGAATGTGATTAAAGTAATGAACAGTAGTAGTAGAATAAACGTAGCCCTAGTAGTTATAGTATATATAGCTCAACGGATTAGGGAGCTGAAGTGGCAATGTGCTGGCCATATAGCTCGAAGAACAATTACAAATGTTGGGGACAAAAGATTCTCAAGTAGCAGGCTTTTATCGGTATACGTCAGGCATGAAATGAGGATATCCGCAGTAGGATCAGAGTAATCGCCATAACCCAAAAGATAAGTAAGTTGAAGTGGCAATGGGCTGGCCATATAGCTCGAAGAACCTACAACCGATGAGGACGAAAGTATCTCGGGTGACTCCCCCCACTAGATGGAGTGACGACCCGGTAGAATATGCAGGAAGTCAATGACTGCAGGTGCCTCAGGACAATATTATGTGGTATTCCTTGAGGATGCCTATGTTTAGTACTGGCCTTGTGAAGGGCTGTTAAAATGATGATGAAATAGCAGATTCAAAATCACATCTACAGTTAAAAAACAAACTCAATTCAGTAATTGAGCCGTCAAAAAAAATCATTTTTCAATATTTCATTAAATTGCACTTGACCAAGCACTTGTAAGGCACTGGGTAGCTAATTTTAACAATCACTCTTCATTCCTTTGCGTCAGTGATGCCCTCAGTGCTAATAGCGAACATGGCTTCTGTCTCTGGCAAACAAGGGCTGTCATATATCTTGCAAACTCTGTTGTCCCCGCGTCCTTTCCTTAAGTAAAGCCGAGTGGTGGAGGCGTGTGCCATTATATGGCCTCCGATGGGTTTCTTGGTGTCTGCGTTGAAAACGCCCACAGCGTCTACTTGCGCAACAACTTGATTAGTAATTATTACTGCCACGCCGAACTGAAAATAAATTGAATCTGTATGTACTGGTCTTTCTTAAATAAATATAGATTAAAATTGATATAATAAAATTCAGCTTTCAATAGAAAGTAAATACCAATTTCGAAGAACTAAAAAGGATAATATAATTTTCACATAACAGCTTATGAAGTCAATAGTGTAATGAAGAATTTACCCCCGACTTCAAAGGCTATTACGTGCTTTTTTTAGTTCTTTGAAGTCCGCGTCTACTTTTTAGATAATGTAATTTTTTCACACTAATAAGTGGACAATAAAAACTTCATATTGTTGCGCGCCTTAGTTGACGTCTGGCACTAGCGCCATCTAGTGTCGGGTAACAGAGCGAGGGGGGCTTTCCAGAAAACGACATGACTAGTCTTTTACAGCGCCATCTAGTATCGAATTGAATAACTAAGCTTTCTAGAAGCCCTACACTCGAACTTTCGACGCCTGGTCGGTTGGCGCGCGTATTTACTTTAATATTCTGGAAGTTTCGGTGAAAAAGGTGTATTTATAGGCGCTGCAATACGCGATCGGGGCAGTATTGAATTTGGCGAGACTAGCGAAGCTTCGGAGCGGAATAAAGTGAATCAGTGTGATTAATTATTTGTATCTTTTAAGTTTTAATTAGTGTAAAGTGAATTAAAGTGCTAAGTTTGGTACGAGGGTGGATTGAAAAGTACTCGGCCTAACACAGATCCATTCAATTCTAAAAATCATGTCTACCCACATTATTTAGTTCAGTTCAGACTAGTTCATTGTGTGAAGTTCGAAACGTGTGCGATAATTAGTTGTGATTTTATAAATTTATTAACAAAGTAATCGGACATAATTTCCGCGAATGGAGCAAATCGACCAGCGTGCCGTCATTAAGTACCTCCATAAGAAGGGGCTATCATCAAAAGCCATCCATGATGACATGGTCAGTACATTAGGCGATTGTGCTCTGTCATATTCATCCGTCAAAAAATGGATAGCAGAATTTAAGCGTGGTAGAGAGAGTGTGAAAGATGAACCCCGCTCTGGAAGGCCTTCGACGTCAACTACTAACGAACATATTAAAAAAGTACTTGATTTAATAATGGGAGATCGCAGATTAAAAATTAGAGAGATAGCCGAGATTATAGGCATCTCTTATGAACGAACTCAAAACATCATTGTCAACGAGTTGGGTTTCCACAAGGTGTCTGCGAGGTGGGTTCCGCGACTGCTTTCAGTTGAACAAAAAAGGACGCGATTGACTATTTCACGCGACTGTTTGGAGTTATTTGAAGCCAATGCAGATGATTTTTTGAATCGTTTTGTTACTATGGACGAAACATGGGTTCATTACTGTACACCGGAAACAAAACAACAATCAAAACAGTGGGGAAGACCTGGTTCACCACCCCTAAAAAAGGCTAAGTCGATTTTGTCGGCAAATAAGGTGATGGCTTCAGTGTTCTGGGACTCGAAAGGTGTGATTATGATTGATTATCTTGAAAGGGGTCAGATTATAAACTCTGATTACTACTGCACCTTACTACGTCGTTTACGAGAGGAAATAAAAGAAAAACGTCGAGGAATGCTCAGAAGAAAAGTCCTGTTTCATCAAGATAACGCCCGTGTTCACACGTCAGTACAGTCAATGGCTGAAATTCACAACTGTGGCTTTGAACTGTTACCGCATCCGCCGTATTCACCTGATCTGGCACCAACAGACTTCTTTCTGTTCCCTAACCTAAAAAAGCACTTGGGAGGTCAAAAATTTTCGACAAACGACGAGGTGAAAGCAGCTGTAGACGCATATTTTGACTCTAAGGAAGAATTATTTTTTTTCAACGGTCTAAATGCTTGGAAGGTGAGGTGGCAAAAGTGTATTGAACTTGATGGTGATTATGTAGAAAAATAAAAATATAACTGATTTAGTATGTGTTTATTTTCTTGGTTAGGCCGAGTACTTTTCAATCCACCCTCGTAATTCAATCGGCAGCTTTTAATGTCACGAACCCTGAGCTCGTAACACTATTCTTCAAACTTAAATGTGGAAGGATGGTTCCCTTGAAGGAAAGCATTACACATATTTAAAAAAAAATCATTAAAATTGGTTCATAGTTGGCAAAGATATTGCATAAAAAATACACAAAAAAAAAACACTCAATTCTATTATAAGTAACTAAACTAAAGTACTAATTCTATTAACTTTTCCTTTTTTGGAGATGTTTAATTTTTTTAATCTAGCTATCAGGTGGTTTGTCACCTTTACTGTGTAACAAACCACCGGATAGTTAGTGGATACTATGATCCAACTTCTAA